CTAGAGACCCATCCCCAACAGTCCCAGGGAGCAGGACTGCAAAGAAGCAAAGGCAGACTTTACCTTTGGGGGCTAGGCTTCCAGCATTCAGGGGCCACTGCCCAGTCCTCATCCAAGACAGGATCTCAGGCCGCATGGCTGAGGTAGACTGGAAGTACCAGTCACCTTGTGTCCAATCCCACCATATGTAGCTTGGCTCTGCCCTAGCGATTTCTAAAGACAAAGTAAAGTTTTGACTTCCTGGGAAAACCAAACCAACCCAAATTGAGGCTGGCTCATTCCCACCACTATCTTCAGAGGAACTGAGCGGAGCAGGGAGGAATACACACAGCACAGCAAAGGGAGCTTTATTCAGTTTACATAGGAAGCATGGATATCATAATTACAAGAAACACAAAATCAAATTTTAAGGTTTCCACCGATATGGTAGACAAAGGGGACTGCACTTGCTCAGAGCTATTTTCAAGGTGAAAAGCAATTAATTTGCAAAGTATGTGTAACAGCACACAGCAAATCCTTATGGAAACGTGGAGTGACAGTTATAATAATAAAGACTCTGAAGACCATGGTTTCCGAGGGCATCTCAGGAGTATGTGGTAAAATTCATGTGACCCCAAATAAACGAGAAAGGAATTCCCAGGAAGCAGAACTCCCAGAGTACAAGAAGAAAACTTGTTGGTCATCTTTGTTATATAATAATTTTGGAGGTGAGTTTATTGCCACTTTAAAATGCATAATTCTGTGACATGTAAGTACATTTATCATTGTCCATTTCCAAAATATTTAGAAACTAAACAGAAACTTCTCTGGTAGATGATATGTAGGATTGCTAATCAAAAGATTGCCGGTTCAAGTGTTGCTCTGGAGGAGAATGATGATGTTGCTAACTCTGTTAAGATTTAGACCAGGGACCCTTGAAGATACTGATGGGAGCAACATCCAGTTCTCCCTCAGCATTACGTTCTCCTCTCCTTCCTCAGCCCCATCCTCCACGACAACAGTACCTCTGCTTCCCTCACCTGCCCCACCCTCCTCCCTCAGCATTACCTTCGCCTCTCCCTCCTCCCCCATAAGTCCTCCTTCCTCCATCAGCAGTACCTCCACCTCTCCCTCCCTCCAGCTGCTCGCAGCACAAACATCTGTCCGTGTCACAGGGATTACACAGGACTTCTGTGACAGAATGGTTTTTTCCATGATTCATCCATGCCACCAAGTACACTTCATAAGTCATCAAATATCAAGTTCAACTTAATATCCAGAGAAGCCACACCAGGGCAGGGGAAAAAGTGCTGACTGGTCCATGCAGGCTGTGCAGGTCTCGCTTCTGTGTGCTTGGTGCAGTGATGTCCCATTGCAGCATAGGACATGGACATATGGACACACAAATTTCTAGCTTACTGACTTTTCTCTGGTGTGAATCCACCAGTCACTCTGAGAGAGAAAGGACACTCTTTCCCAGTGTGATTTACAGCCTCTAAAACCTTCTGGAGGATCAGCTATGGGTTGGTTGGGTTGGAAGACAGCTAGTTTGAGTACTTCCACTCATCTCAGCAGCTTACATGATGGGTCTCTGCCAACTTCAGAGTCATTTTAAACTATTTTTTTCCTGTGAAAAAGCTCAAAGCTCAGTTTCTAGCACCTGGTTGTAGATTTTTTAAGTTCACATATTTAGAAGAAAGGTTAAGAACATCCTTACAGACTTGCCAGTAATTAGCCAGCTCACGGAGTAACCCCTTTACATGAAACCTTCTGAGAAATCAGCACTATCATGAAAAAACAGAGAAACAAGGGCATTAACATTGTTGGAGAAGCAGCAATGTCAGAATGTGGAAACTTTTTATGACATTTTTAAACAACAGCAATTTTAAGAAGCAAGTAAGAGTACCCCAAACTCCCAAACCCCAAGTATGTTATCAACACCTATTAGTCTGTACTTTCCCAAGAAGATACTCATATGCTGGAAAAAGAAACACTGGGCCCATCAATCACAATTCTGCACTGTGTTTGAAATGGCCTGAAGTGGACAAGTGTGGTGATCAACAGTGAAAAGACACATGTGTGACGCTTGGGGATTACAGACTCCCCACCTGGGGAGAGGGTTGATGGGAAATTTCCAGTAGGTTCTGTATGTGCCCCCTGTACCCTGAGTCTTTTCTGAGAAAGCCCCATCTCCATCACAGCCTGGGTTGGGGGCTGTGCCAAGACCCCAAGCATTGCCTTCAGCTGATGGCTCTAGAAGCCACAGAGCCCTTCTTTTGATGCCCAGGATCAGTGAGGCCTGCTCCCAACAGGGCTGGGAATAAATATATGAAAAATAATTTTTCTCTACTCTTCCCTGCAAAGGAAACAGCAATAAAATTTATTACTCAAATAATGATGAGGAAATTCCCATAAAAGGTCTTGGTAAGTAAGTACTTCTGTGTCTCTCCCTAGCTCTGGGCAGAGGGGACATGAGAGCAGGCTGGCCGCCACCTCCTACAGCCATAGGGTGGGGTACAGCTGTGCTGGCTGCATTGAAGAAGGCTGTACTGGCTCACATAGCATCAGGAACCAACTAAGAAAGAAGTCAGACACGAAAGTAGATGACACTGGAGGTCTGTCTTCCTTTCTTCCTTGATACTGCTTTCCACGTGTGAACTTCCATAAGAGAAGGCTGTACCCTGAGAGGCACCAGCCAGCTGCTGAGCATCTGTGCTCCTCTGACCCTGGGCTCTTACCCACATCCACCCACATGGACACACACAGATGGTGCTGGGTGCTGAATGCTGCAGGTGTGTCTGTGCAGGGGTTGATGGGGGGTGGGGCAGGAGCCTCTGGCACTTACACACAGGGAGTCCTTTTGCTCTTGGGCTCGACTCCTGTTCCTGCTGAACTGAGCCAGTGTGTGAAATGAGAACTGCTATCAGCTCAGTAGGCACTGGAGGACGGGTCCAATCGACAGCCCGTATGCCTGCCATATCCACCGTCGTCCATGCGCCACCGCAGCAAACCTAGACCACAGACAGACAGAGGTCACTACGCTCAAGACCATGTCAGGCTCTGAAAAAGCAGGCTCATCCACATGCACCACACAGAGGCAGTGTTTGGAGACTGTCCTTATGGATTTAGCCTTAGGTTTTTGGGTTTTGGTTTTAATAAAGATCAAGTTTTACAGTTATCATACATTTGAGCCTCATAAAAACTTCCACCAATACTTGAGGAGAAAGCATCTTTCATTCTGTAGACCTGACCATTCAGAAGTGTCCGTCCTCATCAGCCATACCGTCCTCATCTCACCTTCTCTTGAGGTGCAGAACTTAGCCACTGTGAACAAAGCGGAACCAAACACTGTTCACCAATCAGCTAAGCTCTGCACCTTGTCAGAGAGGCCGTCGGTCTGTGCAGAACTATGGATGGAGAGCATCTTCGGTTTGCTGGAGCCTCTTTTTTGAAGGAGAACTGGGAGATGTGTGACTATCCCAACTGTGAGATGGACCGGCTTCAGGAGCAGCCGCTGAGGTCGTGGTTGCGTGGTAATCCCTGGCAATGTGATTTTAATCTTAAGTCACAAATCAGCATGCCAGGAACCCATGCAGCCAGGGCAATTGAGTGCACCTTCACTCACATGCTTCCAGACATGTCCGCTCACCAGCTGGCTTCTGGTCTACTTGTTCATTTCACTGGCGTTCTACAAGGACAATCAAACAACTCGGTGACACTCTTTAGAAGCCAGAGCTGCTGTGGAACCAGGAGTGTGGCAGGATTCATTGGTGGCTAGGGCAGTCCAATGATTGGGCATCACATCTGAGTGGCAGGGGGTACTGGAAGGGGCCTCGGGGTGTATCCAGAATCCACTGGTAGGACAGCAATGATGGTGCCAGCTGGAGGTTGGGAGGTGGGAACCTGTGCCAGGACGACTCCTTAGATGGCTCAGGGCTACAGAGCGAAGCACAGAGCCCAAGATTGTGTGAACAGGGGAGTTCTTCAAACCATGGGACACAGGAAAGGGTCCAACAAGTGATCTGCCTTTCTGTAACATCACACATAGCTTTACAAATGCAAACTCTCCATGAAAATAAAATCTAAGAGCAAACATGGTTTGTTTTTGTACATGAGGACGGCAGCATGATGACTACCACTCTTCTGTGTTTGCAACAGTCCATCTACTACTACCAGACTCATAGTGCTGGGAGTGGTGTGGAGGCAGCTGCTTCCATGAGACAAAGTCTTATGGTCATTCCTGGAGCAGGATGTGATTTCAGGAGGGATGGGGGCACATGCAACACCACCAAAGCTTTGTTCTCCTCCTTGTTCTTTTAGATAAATATAATTCTTAGCCATATTAGACAGAAACCATTTTTATAAAAGCCAAACTTCAAATATAAAAGGTATTTGTAAAGAAGCTATATAGCAATGTGAAAAAATGTGAGATGTAATTTTCTTTTTATTTTAAAAGATACAAAATTAGGCATATCTTATTACAGCATGTAAAACTTTGAAGACAGGGTAAATGGTCATCATTAGAGAAAAAGATTTCTAATCTTATAGTGCTAACTACAAACTTTATGTCCCAAAGGCAAATTACTTTCCTAACAAAGGCACACATTTAAAGATTTTAAGGAAAAGAATGTCAATTCCAAGCAGGGCTCCAACCTCAGCCCCTTACACCTGCAGAGGTGGGGGTCCTAAGTGCAGCATCCCTGGCTCATTCTGTAGGGAGGTGACACAGTGCAGGCCTGGGGACCAGCTCTGCAGGACGACCATGGTGACACCCCAGGCTTACCACCATCTACCTGAGGTATGTGCCACAGTCCCTGGCTCCACGGTAACAGTCTACAGGGGCCAACACGCTGCCTAGGGGCAGTTTTGTGTTTATGCAGGCATGCCTCCCTGTGTCCACAGTGATAATGCAGGGACGCAGGCTCATGCTGCAATTAGGCAGTCCATCTGCCATCCACAGCCTCTTGGGAGGAGCAGTATCTGCTTAGAACCAAACACAGAAGGAGGGAAAGAATCACCTCTTAAAACAGCATCTCAGCCACAACCTGGGCCGATGCTCTGTCCATCCACTCCTTGGTCAGTTCGAAGCACTTGCGGGCCAGCTGCTGCTGCCTGGGGTCCTCGCCAACCATCAACTCCCCATAAAGGTAGATGCCCATAGCCTGTGCAGGTGCAAAGTCCAGAGAGAGCAACTAAGAAATAGTGTATACATACTCCACACCAGGGCGTACCCCCAGTCCACGCACACATCTGCCCCTATACATGCACATAACCCTGTATATGCACACTCACACATGCACACCCCTAAACATGCACACAAGCCTGTGCTTGCGTACACACACATGCTCCCTATGCATGTACCCTAATACATGTACACAATCTTGCAAATCCCTGTGCAGCATGCACATTAGTGCACATGCACATCCCCACACATGCACACAACTCTATACATGGATATGCTCCCAAACACACATCTATGCACACCCATACCTCCATGCACATATGTACAATTGTACACATCTACATGCACACATCTGTTCATTCACCCCCACACATGCATATACATCTGTGCAAAATCATGTCCCCATGCATTCACACCTACACACCCCCATCTCACACCCCACACCTTCATGCACACACATCTATGCACACTCACCCCGTATATGGACGCATATCTGTTCACATGCACACCCATCCATGCACAGGCACAACCCCATGCACTCAAACCTCATGCACACATACACATCTGTATACACCCACCTTATCTTCCATGAATACACACACATCTATGCACACTCATATCCCCATATATATGTACACACTCTCCCATGCACATACACATCACACATGTGCAGGCATACACTATGTGCACACACACACAAACACACACACCCACACACCCCCCCCACATGCACCCCAACATGAATGTACATACATGTGCACACACTCCCACACACCCAGAGGCATGCTTGTTTCAAACACATTTGCTGGATCTGACATTACAAAGACCCTAGAGAAGGGCAATTCAGTCTAATACCCATTTAGACTCCTGGAATGTGTGTTTTTCATCCTTTTTCTCCCATGTTCTTACTACATCCTGAGGCATTCTTAGCTATCAATGCTGATGCTCTTAACAGCTCACAGTAAGGAGAGAGCATATCTCCAGGAAACCTCCAGGAAGGTGCTGGAGAGACAGGCCCCACAAGGAGAACATAAGGGGAAAGCTGCAGACAGCAACAGAGATTTGGGATGCCTGTATTACTCAGGAGTGTGATCCTTGGGCAGAACATAATGGATGAGCTCACCAAGTATGTCTCTATGAGCAGAGGCCAGCTGCCTCAGTACAGCACAGGCACCAATATGGTGGCTCTGCAATTTTACAAATGATGCTTCCAAAATGACACTGCATTTTGCTACACTTCTAATACCATGGACAAGGTGTGACAGGTCAGGCTGCTAATGGAACCCCTATCTGCTCTGTAGGATGGCAGGCAGCCTCTTCCTATAAAGATTTATAGTCTTGGAAACTTGATGATGGAATTAATCCAAAAACTATGTTCTAGTCCCTCCAGTCCTATCTTTTCTCTTGTTCCAGACTCAACTGTGCCACAGATGACATTCTCCTGTAAGGAACTAATGGAAAGGCTCCACTCACTGCCATCAAGCTGAGACTAGCTGACAGCAACACCCCACCAAGTATGAGGCTACAATCTCAATGACAAGAGGAATAGCAGGTGGATTTGAACCACTGCAGGTATGGTCTTTCGGTTAGCAGTGAAACATTCCCACAGAATGCACCAGCAGAGAGCCCAAAGATAATGCAAACTAAACTAAGGAGTTGGGGCCCAAAATTGTTCCCTAGAAGAGCGGACAGAGGCACAGTTCATGGCGCTGGTATTGCAGTTAATTTTGGCATCAGAACAAGTCTGAAGGACATAGTTGTTCTTACACTTTGCCTCTGAGGCTCCCCCACCCCCATCACTGCCTCTGTGTCCCGGTTCCTGTTTTTTCAAACACCTCTTGCAGTACTGTGCAAATGTGACATTTCTTCCAGTACAAAGTCTTATACTTTTCTTTGTGGGAACCCTATCAAAAGTCCCTTTGTTTGTCGTGCCCCCAGATGCACCCCTCCCATGTGACACCAAAAGGAGCTCCATCCTTCAACCCAGAGCCCAGTGCAGTATGCCTCATCACAGAAGAACAAGGAGGCTTGTCTCCCAGCTACAGAGTTCACTGCTCCTTTGCCACTTCACACCTGAGCACAGGTGTGTGCAAACAGGTGTAGTAGGGGCAACCCTCTGTTGTATACTAAAACTGTGTGTTGTTGGTAAGTTGCTGTCAAATCAACCACTAATAGTGACCCTGTGAACAACAGTTGTGAAACTTGCCCTCTCCTGCACCATGCTCTGATATACTTGAGCCCATTTGTTATAGTCACTGAGTCAATACATCTTGTTGAGGGTCTTCCCCTCTCTAATCTTCCCCCTTTCAAAAAAGGATGTTTTTCTCCAATGACCTCTCCTGATAACACATCCAAAGTAAGTGAGGTGAAATTTCACCATCCTTGCTTGCCTCTAAGGAGCACTCTGGTTTCACGCCTTCCAAGACAGACTTCTTTCTTCTCTTGGCATATTCAGTACTCTTCCCAACACCACAATTTGAAGGCACTGAGTCTTCTGTCCTCCTTATTCCCTGCCCAACTTCCAAATGCATCAGAACAACTGAAAATACCATGACTTAGTTCAAGTAAACTTTAATCTCTAAATAAACATCTTTGCTCTTTAACACTTTAGTGAAATCCTTGATAGTCGATTTTTCCTGACTGCTGCTACCATGGGTATTGATTGTGGATCCAAGTAAAATGAAATCCTTGACAACTTCAGTCTTTTTTATATAGTATAGGTTGGATGGAACTTAAGAAATGAAGAGAAACAGTTGGAAATATCCAATAATAACTGGAACACAGAATGTACTAAGTAGGAATTAAGGAAAATTGGAAGTTGTAAAAGATTAAATGGAACCCATAAAGATCAACATCCTGGGCATTGCTGAGATGACCAGGTTCTAACCACTCTGAATCAGACAAACTAAAAAGGAATGGTGGAGTAATTCACAGTCACTGAAGCTGCTAACTGGACACTCTCAAGTCCATGAATGTCTTGGGCCCCTAATGCTTCACACAGTCCATGAATACTCAAGTCCATAAAGCCACTACACACTTATCTCTTCATACATATTTTCCCTATGGAGTCCCTGGGAAGGAGGCCTAGTCAGTAATGAAAAGGACTCTCACCATTGTAGTCTGGTCTTCATATGCAGAAGAGACAAAGCTCTTCACCAAGAGACTGTGGGTAAGGCCATGGTGACCCTGACATGAGTCACAGCTCGCACCCAACAGGACTCCCAGCCTCAGTGAGGTCTGGGAACATGGTCCACTCTTGTCCAAAGGAATGTGTGTCATACACGTAGCTTAATGTTCTGGGGAGAGGGTCATGAAGTAGGGGGGCCAGTCAGCTAAAAAGTATGTCAGACAAGGTCCAGCTACTGCTTTTAAGTCCTTGGAATATTTATTAAGAAGAGGCATCAAGCAGCTGGGTCCATGTGTAAAGCATGCCAGACAGGCAGAGCAGATGATATTAAGCACTGCCAAGGTGGTGCTTTTCTGGCAGTTCAAATCCACCAGCAGCTCTGAAGGAGAAAGAATGTCAATCTCTCTCATGTGATTTAGTTTTTGAAAGCTGGATGCAGGGTCTGCTGTGAGTCAATGACTGATTCAACAATGATTTGCACTTTGACTGGAGAACTTACCTGGTCTCCCAGGAGGAAGCTCTCCACCTGTCCATAGGCTGCTATGAACCTGTGCTTGATGATCAGCTCACACCATCGGTGACGGACCTGCAGAAACAGAACGTGTGAGCAATCCTATTGACTCCAGTGTCAAAGAACTGTGGCGTTGTACAAAGCTGCCCTCTAGGATGTATCCGCCTGGAGACCCTAACACAGCTATCCTGAAATTGTTTTAATCTCTTTTTAGAGATAAGGACCATCTCTCTTTTTAGGAGAACTGTTAATCAAAGTCTTGGAAACCCAATGATGGAGAGTTGCTACAACTTGAGAGGTGTGTTTCATTAAACTGTCTCACCATTTTTTTTTTTATAATTTAGTTTGTTTATTTTTCATTTCAATGAACATCTACAGAGATTTTGGAATTCCATTCATTCATTGTTGCACCCTTCTC